TGGTCTTGAAGCCACTAGCCACATGGAATGTGCTGCAAGTTCGGTGAGTGTCGGTTCGCCTGCCAGCGTAGACGCCACGTTGGGATCAGCATTAGTCGCCAGCACCGAAATCGGGTTGTTGTTTTATGCAGTGGCATCAGTGCATGCACTCGTCCACCTGGCGAGGTCTTTGGACCGACGAGCTTCGCAACTGACCGCGAATAAGTGGAGATGTTAGACGAAATGCACCTTTGCATTTTGTCTTGTACTTTTGTTGCCTTGTCGGCTCCTACCATGGCAACGTCTGAGCAAACCGTTAGACCGTCACAATCTGTTTCCCTAGCCTTGCAGTGTCGATGCATGACGGCATTACTTTTGGTGTTGTTGGAGCCTGTGACATTTAGAGGTGTGTGGATGGCGGTTGGAGGTCAAGGGTGGAAGAGGGGTAGAAGAGGGGAGGGGAGGGGAGGGGTTGAATTGAAGGCCCTTAATTCGGGAACGGTATAACTGCAAGAAGGGTTGGCGCGAGTTTGAAGAGACACAGCTGCCTCGACAGCCCTATTCCACCATCTTAATCGCAAACCAGCATCATCATGGTCAAGCAAGCAAGCCTAATATGATTGATCATAATTGCATGCCTGCATGTATGTACTAATGAAACATGCCTTTTTAGCCGAGACGCGAAAGAAAAGGACAGTCTGCTTGAGGCAATAGCACGGGCGACTGTGAACGAGGCGATCAACCTCGCCGTAGCTGAGCTCAAGTCAGAAGCAATGGAGGTGTCGAAAGCAGCGTCAAGAGGTGGAGCGGTGGAGGAGGTGGCAGCGCAGTTGTTAGCCGGTCTTGCTGACTCCTCCGCCACGCGCACGGAACGCAGACGACCACGTCGACGATGCTTGTTTGGGGAGAACAGCACGAGATTCGTGGGTGATGGCGCGAGACTCGTGGACAATGCAGTGGCCTCCTCCAAGGAAATACTGACGGATGGACTTGAAAGGATGACATTGTCTGCCGATACGGGTGTAAGTACTTGTTGCTCAGCATTGTTACCTGACGCATATGTTGGATGATGAGGAAGGTTGAGAGTTGCAACAGTGATGCCTTTCCAAGTCATCAATTTGCGTGGGCACTGGATGTGGATTTAGAGCACGTCAGCAAGTGAAAACGTGCTAATCTAATGCGAAGGAAATGAGTGTCTCTTGAGGAAGCGGAGGTTGGAGTGCATGTAGTGCCCTCCAAGTTGGTACTTGCAGCCCAATAGAGAAGGTCAGTTGGTCTGCATCACTCGATGTTGGTGGATGAGTGAGTGAAAGGTGGGGGCGATGACAGCGAGCAGCAACAGTGTGAGGCAAACGGAATGTTCGGTGTGCATGCGTTGAGTGGACGGAATGGGGACCACTAACAGGTACACAATGAGGATGGTGTGACGTGGGTGATGAGGTTGGGAGAGTGGAGGTGGGGACGTAAGGCAGAAAATGCAGGTAGACCTGACCGAAACCGGATGTGGGGGATGAGGGGAGAATGAGATGTGGAGAGTGAGGTCTCTTCTGACACATTTTGGCGTAGTGGGGATGAGGGACAATGGTTGGAGGTGCAAGTGGGCAGATTGGCCAAATGCAGGCATGCGTAGTGGTTGGAAGGGGGGCAGTGAAGTAGGAGAGATGGGCTGCGTACGGTAACAGAAATATGCAAAGTGGAATGACAAGGTGGTAATATATTTGCAGTCGGTAAGGAGGGCACAATCGAAGGTGGTCTCAGTGGCAGCAAACGCAGCATTGAACGCGGCAGAGCGAGAGGAACGACGTGTGCGTATCGACCAAATCATGA